GGGCATGGGCAGCCCCAAATACCCAGCAGTCATGAGCCAGCCTCCCTCCCTGGTGAGCCTGGTTTAGAAATTACGATTTAAGGAATTCTCTATCCTCTGTTTCCAGCCTGTAGGGTGCAGTAGTGCCGCACTTTCAGCTTAATTCTCTGGGCTCTGGCACTTGAGCTCTAGGAGCACATCTGATTATTGTTGGACCTGGGAGGAAACCCCCAAACCTGCGAGAGCAGGTGCCCCCACTGCCCAGGGAGAGGCTTTAAAAGGAGACCACAGGTGCTTTAGATGGTATTGGCTCCCTGGGTATGTTTGAGAGGCTGTCTGCTGGCTTGGAGAAGAGCAGTGAACACTGTAAGTACATATGCCAAAGCCCTGCTCTCTCTGGGAGCCCTTGGAGAGGGCTGTAAGTTGGGGGTGAGGTGAATATATAAAATATTCATGGAAATATACAAACCCAGAGCAAGGTAAGTCCTGCTTAGTTGTATTTTAGTATCAAAACATTGATCTCTGTGCTGGTGAGTGAGGTAAATCAGGCAGAGTGTAAAAGCAATGTGAGACCAACGTCAGCTTCAGTTTATCCATCTCCAGTACCCGTAACACGCAGTTCCTGAGCTCCTTTTCCTCCTGAATTTTTTTTTTTTTTGTGTGTGTGTGTTGTGTTTAATCTAGCAGAAGGCTGTATCTCTGTGTCTCACAGATATCAGAGGACCTGCTGGGCTGAGAGATCCCACAAGTGTGACATGAGCTCTCCATAAATTGCAACCACTTTAATTTTCATTAGGATTTCATGGCATTCTTGGAGGAGTGGGCTCTGACTGGGGTGACTGGACTGGATGCTATTTGGGGAAATATTACATCTCCTAGCTAAGGTCTGGCTGAATTTTCTTCCCTACTTTGCATTCTATAGACTGTGTACCATGAGCTGTTAAGCTGATACTGTGTTCCACTTCAAGGGTGGTTACAGCAGGAAACAATGTTTATGGAAAAGGGCTATAATATATAAATATAATACAGTGGCCAAAACTGTCAGAAGTTAAAACATCACTTCTAACTGCCCTCTGCCATGCCTTAGACACCAAATGACTCACAGAACTTTTTTTCCAGGAACAGTGATGCTCAAAGTGCCTGATAATGGGCTTCCAAACTACTGAAAATCTTGATTATGAAGAGCAGAAACTCCTTCTGAAAATAGTTTTCTTGGTTGAAGTTTATTCCAGTGGAAACCAGAATGGACTATGTAGCTTTCAGCTCTACCAGTAAAAATCTATATCAGCCCTGTGCAATGCCCAGATAGCAGAGGGCAGAATATGCTCCATTTCCTTCCACATCGTGTTCTCTTCTATTGTTAGCAATGTCTCCCAGAGTAAAGAATCTAAATTACAACCCTGTTTTTCACATTATTATTGTCCCCCTCCAAGAAATAAGTCTTTGCCAGACCTTTCAGTCCTTGGATCGCGCGACTCCACCAGCTTTTATCTCCCTCTGTTGAGCCGCAGTTTTTCCCCCGCTCATCGTTGTAATCTGACATTGTGATTTGTTCACTTGCCTGCTTGTTTTTCTTCTCGGAGAAGATTTGCTGAATCATTGGGGAGGCGGCAAGAGCTCTAGAGGCAGCTGGTGGCCAGTGATAAAACCATGGCCACATCCAGTCTTCAGGGTTTGCAGATGACAGCCCTTCAGTTGAGGGCCTGAGTCACATTCCCTCCCTGGCTAAGATTGCTGGGGACTTCAGGATTGAGGAAGCAGGGCTGAGGAGCTGGTGCACCAAAAATATAAATTACTGATCCTGACAACCACAATGTTTGTGTTTTATCTCCTGCAAAATTTACAATGATGCAGACTAGGGGCTAAATCCTGCCGACCGCTGTATGTTGTGCCCACTTCATTGGGAACACATGTTAATAAAATAGGGATTTGGCTTGGAAAAGGTATGCAGTGGCTGCTTCCAGCCTTGCAGGAGCAAGGTGTAGTGTGAGCAAAGATGTGCCAGGGCTCCAAGACAGTCATGAGCCTGTTTATTTGGAGAGGATGCACAAAATTCCACTGGTACAATTTATGCAGCTGTTTATATGAGTTTTGCCCACTGCTTGATGATTGAAATAATTGCAGGGAGCTAAAATGTCTTGGTTCATGTCTTAGCTCTTTCACTTGTGCTCCGTATGACCTTGAGTTACTTTCTCTCTCCTTGGTTCTTGGTTTCCTTGCAGTAAAACAGGGATGAGGTGTTTCCATCTTTGTGGAGCATTTTGAAATCTTTAGGCAGAACGTGCTATTTAACTATCATTACTATTTGAGTCCTCCAACACCACTCTTGTGCCATATGCAGCAGGCATGAGGACACGGCTCTCTGACTTTCTCACTAATTGTTTTCCAGTTAAGAAGGAAAACCTCAGCCATCCCATGTGCATTCACTCTGAAACCCAAGGGCTTCTGCTCTGTCAGCTCTGTCTTAATGTAAGGCACTAGAAAATGAGTTTTGTGTGTGTTTTTGTAAGTATCTTCCAGAACTCAGAAATAAAATCTTACCAATAGTACATGATACTAAGAAAAGAATTTTAACTTGGGATGTTATACTTCAAGGAGATGAGGTTGAAAGTTGGTTAAGAAACAGACTGGAGGTCCAGGTGACCTGAGTTCCATTTCTTGTTATCCTATTCAAATTTGGGCAAATAATTTATTTTTTTC